AGCTAATTTTAAGCAGTAAACATAAGCCAAGTCTCTGCTTTGTGATTTTCTCAGGTTGCAAGTAAGAGAACTGTAGCGAATATCTTGCTAAAACTTTGGGCTTTCCTCAGAACTCCGTTAACATAATTTTCATTCTTCAGGACTGTATGTATGTGTGTGTGTGTATGTGTGTTTTAGATTAGGTCAATGTAATTTAGAATAGCCAATAAATTCGTGTTTCATTTATAAAGAATCATTGTCTGGTGTCGTATAATTTTAAAGTCAAACCTTGCCAAGATCACGTTTCCTCGCTAGGAGCTTACAAATTATCATAATTGTATTGACCTGTGGCCAAGGAAAATACACATAGTCAGATTGTTAAGATACACGGACATTAACGTCTCGCTGGACGACCGTTGATAAGGTGTAAACTATTAAAATTTGAAATCAGTTCTAATCAGGTTGACTTCGAATTTTCCGATTCGAGTCCTCTCAAAACCTGAATGAATTAATAATAATTAATTCCCTAAGAAAAGTAATCAGACATTACAACAAGTTAATCAAGGTCTTCAGGATTACTGGAAAGTTACAGGCAGGTGAAGTTACCGGAGCTAAACTAAAAAGTAAAGTGGACTTTGAGGGCCAGAGTTAAGAACTCTGATCAGGGGCAGGGGTGCCCAATCCTTTTCATGGAGATCTACCTTCCTGCAAAGTTCATCTCCAACCCTGATCAAACACACACACACACATACATAAATACATACATACATATATAGTACAGACAGGTGTGTTTGATTAGGGTTATATCTGAACTCCGGTGGCAGATCTCCAGGAACAGTAATGGGTAACCCTGATCTAGGGCATATGTTAGGCATGTCTCTTCTGTTCTTGTGTGGGCTAAATGTCTGTTTTATGTGTCCACAGGGAACATCATATGTGTTTGATGGTGTATTTCCTCCTGAGACCTATCAGGAGCAGGTGTACAACACCTGTGCAAAACAGATTGTCAAAGGTCAATGTGTGATGCCCTGTATGAGCATAAGCATGTACATGCATGCATGATTGTATTTGGTCCTCACCTTGTCATATTTAAAGGGGTCCTGAATTTATTTTTTTATAATGTTCCCTGAGATCCACGTATAATGTTGGTAAGATTTTTACATCAAAACAGTAATAATTTAGAAATAAATGACCATTTTCTACACTGTTTTTGATCCTCTGGTTTGAACACTCCACTTAAATTACCATGTATCCTTTAATATTTCAATGTGCAGTAAATGCTATGATTGGGGTAACATCTTTGCATATGAAATAAGTATTATACATGTGGAACTGCTGAAACACAATTATGATTACAGTTGCTACAATTACCTAATTGTGGAAAGTGTGAATAATAGTATTATGTTTACAGCACGTTTACTTCATTAAAGTTTCCTTTTAACATGTTTTTTGCTATGAGCACTGTAGCCAGTGTTGAACGCATGAATGCAATGGCCAGAGTTTTGTTCAGTGCAAGCTCACAGTGTTGACACCATGTAAATGTAAGATTCATTGTGCAGTGTAGACTATTTCAATGATTATAAAGGGAGTTTTTGTGAGAGAGCAGAACTCACGTTGAACTAGACTGATTGACAGCTATAGTGATTATAAAGGGAGCGTTCTTTGCATCTCTTTTAAGTAAATATTTCACAAAGTGTTTTTGCAAAGCTTGTGTCCAGTTGTGGCATTAATTATGTCCTACTGAAATGCATTGGGGAAAAAACCCCAGTAATTAAGTCATTTTGGCAGCTTTGGTTCAATAAAAGCTGTTTTTGGACTAACTAGGCAGTTTTAAGTTCTGAAACTTACAGTATGTATTTATAGCACAATGACCTCTTATATGTCAAAAGACCAATGAAAATCAAATTTCTCAATTCATGACCCCTTTAATACTATTGGAGTAAAGTGGCATTTAAAGGCTGCAGAATGTCTATATCATTATGTGAAATACTGAAATAACTCAATATTACTGCAAAAGGCAGTTGTGGATTAGGCTATTTGAAGCTGTTCCTCATTTAGAAGAGCGTTTTCATCCAAAGCAAGATGAAGTGCATGAACTCCATTGACTGCAGCCAGATGATCATGTCACTCTTTCACTAACTACACTAGAAATTTGTCAAGATAAACGTGTCAAGATGTTGGCTTGACAAAGCCTTATCAAAAATTTTGAAGAAGACAAAGGCAGATAGATAGACAGCTAGTTAGATAATAATTTTCACTCAGAAATTGCTAGTACATTTCACAAACAATTACAAAGAAATAGTAAGTAACACATTGAATTAAATGTGAAATGTTGAAGAATAAAACTGAAATGATATTTTCCTGTAAAATGTAATCTGTTTTATTTTCAACTTTGAAAAATTTTCAACTTTTATGCAGTTACTAGAGTAGTTTATTGTTAGTTGCTAAGGTTCTGGGTTATTTCTAGATTGCTGAGTTGAGCAGGGTGGTTGCTAAGACTTTAAGTGTGTTCGGGGTTGTTACTAAGCAGTTGCTATGCGTTTTCTAGGTGTGGGTGTCTGGGCATTCAGGGTGGTAACTAGGATATTGCTAGGGCTTTTCTGAGGTCTTTGTTGTGGTTTCTGTTATGGTCTTGGATAGTTACAGAAGGACTGTCAGACAGATAGATAGAATGTGACTTGAAGAGTGCAGATGGTTAAAGTATGACTGAAGAGTGATAGATGAATGGACTTTGACTTTCAGAGTGATTAATGGATGAAGTGTAATTTGAAGGGTGATGGATCAATCAAGTGTCACTGTGGCCATTTGAACTCTACATTATCACCTTAAATAGAATATCAGTATGGCTTTGTCAAACCAACATAAGTTGAATAAGAGAACATGTTTACTGTCCAGAAAACATCATAATCCTTTGATACTTGAGAATAAACCAGCAACATTTTTTGCTAGAAGCCCCAATGCCTATACCCCATCATAAGACAATGTATATTGTAGAGAAAGGACATTTGATGTGTGAATCATTTGTGTGTTTGTTTGTGTGGATATGTAGATGTGCTGGAAGGTTGCAATGGAACGATCTTTGCCTATGGACAAACCTCTTCTGGCAAGACACACAGCATGGAGGTAAAATTTTAGATTATGGTTCCCAACCCTGGAATCTTGGACTACCCTCAACACTGCACTTTTTTTTTTTTTAAGTCTCAATTTTCGAACACACACATTTTAAGTCTTAGAGTCTCTAAAAAGCTGGTGAGTTGAATCGGGTATGGTTGATCATAGAGAACCATCCAAAATGTGCAGTGCTGAGGGTACTCAAGGTTTTTTAGATTAGTGTAAATATTGATCACAGTTTTACAATGTTATTACTAATTTTGTATTTTGCTTACATAAGGGGCGATTCTAGGATTTCAGTAGTATGGGGGCTCAGCCCCCAATGAGGGTATGATTAAAATATTTAATATATTGTTTGCATAAGGTAGGTAGGAACAATACATACAAAATATATATTTTTTAATGCTATCAAGTCAACTGATAAATGTTGATTTTTCCACATAGTTTAACACTCTTTTCACATAGGCTTATTAAATATGCTCTAATCAATTCTGTTACATTTCTTAGACTAATGAAATTAACAGCTGACTTGTACTCAGTCGACAGCAAGAAGGCAGGGGCTCGCAAAATGGGGGGAGAACCTGCACCAGCACCACTGACAGATGAAGAGGAGATGGTCAAGTAGTAGAATTTTAAAATCCAAAAGGAAAAAGAATAACTGTTGCTTTTGTATTTGTAGAAAATAAAGATGACCAAATAATTTGTTTATTTACCAGCTGTGGGGTGGTTACGGAATATATCTCGTACTACCCCTCCATCTGGCATCCTTCCATTCCATACAGTAATCTGATTCATTTTCAGAAGGTGCGATGATGGGAATATGCTTGTCATCAATGCATCCAACCACACTGGAAATCCTGAAGAAAATTCTAATTATTGGGTTACTTCTAGAGGTTGCAGCAATATGTTATCAAGTGAACATCATTTATCAGATTAGCCTAATTTAAAATGATTTCTACAACACTGACCTACTGTCCAGTGAAACTCCTTTTTTTTTTTTTGCACTTTATTACATAATTATGTAATTGTTTGAAATTTATTTTTTAAACATGTTTGAAAAATTATTTTCTTTCCCCACCCCGTTCCACAACCCTGAATTAACAGAAAGTAGAAAAATAGTAGATAAATAACCAAACAACCAAATAATTATATGAATAAAGTGAGTGCTTACTATACAAAATAGCAAGATACATTTCAATACTTTGTTATCAGCAGATATATCAAAGTCAATTTTGTTAACAAAAGTAAACGTGTTCACAAAAATAAAAAGAATAAAATAAAAATAAAGAAGGGAGGGGAGGGGAGGGGTCACTCAAATGGTCTTTCTGTGTAGATATGTAAGCAAGCATGACATAACCAAGTATTTTAAAGTCAGATGGCCTTTCTAAAACTTTAGTCCTATTAATTAGTTAGAAGGTAGGGTCTTCATCTTTTCAAAATATGTAATCATAGGTTTCCAAATTTTATAACATTATTGAATGGATCCTTTTTTGACATATTTTATTCTTTCTAGTTTTAAATACAATATCAAATCACAAATCCACATTGAAGTTTTTGGTGGATTTTTTGATTTCCATTCCAACAATATTCTCCTTCTTGCTAATAATGAAGCAAAAGTAAAAACATTTTCCATATTGTTAGTCAAAATTGAAAGTTGATCATATTGCCCTTTAAGTTCCACTCTCTTTTTGAATAACTCTTCTGAAGGAGTTAATGAGATGTGGCTATCTATTTTTGCTATGGAATCAATGAGTTGTTGTAATTTTGCATTCTTTAGTTTGTTGGTATATGAACAATAAGATATGATTTCATCTCTGATGACTACTTTAAATGTTTCCCATAAAGTCGATGGTGATACCTCTTCAAATGTATTTGTAGCCAAAAAATTATCAATTGCTGTTGATATATACGTATTAAATTTTTTGTCTGCCAACAGAGTTGGATTTAATCTCCAGTGGGGCATTGGTTACTGCAGAAAGTAAATCGTAAATCTAAAAGTAGTGGGGCGTGATCTGATATAATAATGGCAGAGTATTTCTTGCAGTAACGCTATATCCGTTTTCATTTTTTTGAGATGAGCGAAAATACGCGTTCGTTTATTTGGTCCATTCATACCCTTAACGTTCCAGGTAATAAAACGAATGGAAGACCCTCCTTCTTTCTTAAACATATCACACATCAATCAATACTTTTATAAGAACAGATGAATAAAAGTAAGACCATTCCACATGTGCAAGTGAGTGGTATAAAAAAAAGACAACACAACGCCCACCCTCTCTCCCATCCCTTCCAATCAAGCACAAGAAACATTGACCCCTTCCTATATTTGTCTCAAGAACGGAGACAAATGGCAGGTCCCCATACACGTACCCCCAGTAATCTCTCAAATTACTCAGAACCGTTTCTATCAACGGGGGTATCCCAATCCACTATAACATTTTCTACATCCATAACTTTTTACAGAAGTTTACTTTTTTACTCCTTGGAGTATCAATCCACAGTCATTAAATTTTCAGTTTTTTTTCCACCCCAAAACAAATATTTTTCAGACAAAGAAGAACATTAATATTTGATGCAATAATTACATAAAATGAATGCCTTAAAGATACCTATATCTTCCTGGCTTTTTTCATGATAACTGACAACTGAGGTCTAGGTGCTATGCAACTACCATACAGTGCAAATATACATTCTTAAGGACATCAAAACCTAAAATAAAACTCCAGAAAGGTGTAAACTATGTGACCTTTAACCAACGCGCTTGCGTTTAAATCCGGTTCCCCCGTCTCTCTCTGTGGTCGCCGTGATTTTGCCAAGTAAGACATGTTCCTGGATCAACATCTTTTGTTGATCCTGGATCAACATTACTGTCCAAAAATATAGACTAAACCCAATCCCTATCCCTAAACCTAACCCTACCCATAATTTATTCCTAAAATCAGAGGGAAATGATAGCTGATTAACAAGGGCATAGAAGCACCTAACCCTGATCATAAGCCTAAAACAGATATTTCCTGAAATGTTATCCCTCAATTCTGATTGGTTAATGTTGATCCAGGAACATGTTATACTTGGTGAAATCACGGTCGCCCTCTCTCTGTTGCTCTGTGTACCTGGCCTTTACCACTACACTTGCTATCTTCGGAGCGTGTGTCCCCCTTCCTTTCACATAATGGTATGATCCTAGTCTATCCTCCCATGTGATTGGATTAGCCGCATGTCTATTTTTTATTATTTTTTTGTAACGAAAAAATGCATAAAAATAAGGCTTTTATGAAAACACTTCATAAAAAATTGCTTACCAGCACACAAATCATTCACAATTGCTAAATTGGGCTAAAATAGAAGGCTCCAGCTGAAGATTCGGCTCTCCCCGACGGGAGTCGGCTCTTCTCGTTCGCTACAAAGAATCGGCTCTTAGAAAAAAAAAATTATCAGAAAGAGCGTGAGCGACGTATACTTTTCTTATCAGTCTGCATACAGTGGCCTTACTAATGTGCTCTGTATCTCCAGTGTTTTAACATAGCAGAGGCGGCCTGCTTAGTAGCACGGAGAGCAAGATCCGTGGTGCAGCGCAGCTCGGCTACCCCATCAGGAGAAAGGCGGAAAAAGAGACAAACGAGAGCGGAGCTTTTTCATCGAAAAACGCTCACAATGTACACAAATTGCCCCCTCAAGGACATGGCGTGCGTGCTCCTCGCCCAAACAAAAAACGCAGAGATCGTGTGTGTCATCAGGTGTCAAATAGCGACGACATGGATGCACACATCCTCTAAACGTTCTGCTAGTGCTCGCCATAACAATAGGATAGACATCGCTCTTACCACGTTCAAATGCACGCTTCAAACAAAACAGTCAGTGAAGATGAAGAAGAGAATGACATGTTCTCCCGGCGCCTATTTATACTAATAGTCGCACCGGTAGTGACGTCATGGGCTGTTGCCGGCCAACGTGTTGTTGGTGTTTTTTCAATGTATGCTTCAGACACGGGTCACAACGAAGCGTTCCCCATAGCGACCCCTAGAGGACGCAATTCGAAGTTCCCTTGAAAGGAAACTACCATTTAAAATGCTACCGCTCAAATAAATATGCATGTGAATATGGCAAAAAAAAACTCCTTACGGATATATGTAATGTAATGTATCCTCTACGGGATCCTGTATAAGAGGAGATGCCATTTTTGTCACACACTTTTTTGATAGACACTTCTGCATGACGAAAATATGCACAATGAATGAATACATGCAGTGCAAAAAAATGCTTTTCTTACTTTCTTACTTACTTTTTTAATTTTTGTCTTCTTGTTTCCAGTCAGAATATCTAAATATTCTTAAATCAATATGCATTTTCTACATAAAAAAGACATAAGGTATTTAGTCTTGTTTCCATGCGGGAAAAATAATTTAAGTGCATTTTTCTTATTTTGCTAATTATCTGCCAGTTGGGTAAGCAATTAAAAATATGCTTGTTTCCGTTTGCATTAAGATTTTTTTTTTTTTACCCTATGGTGGACAATTTTACATGTTTTACATAAAATACACTTAAAATGCACTTAAATGCACTTGTTCCCCCAGGAAACAAGGCTAAATACCTTATATAATTTTTCATCTATAGAAATGGCATCTTAACGTAGTGATTTGAAGATATTTGTACTTGAAATAAGACAAATACTCAGTAAGAAAAGCATTTTTGCAGAGTGAATGAATGAATGAGGTATTTAAACATCGCTTACGCTTTAAAAAGGGGGAGGAGACAGTAAGAAACTCTGGGTTTACCGAAGAAAACCTACTCCCGACCAGGTTAGGTTCATAGAGTAAGTTACCACGGTGACTGACTCTGAGAATAAGTTACCTCTCTTTCAGAAACGGGCTTGACTTACCCTGCTTTCTCGGGTTTGACAAACCTCCCATTCTGAAACGGAAAACCCAGAGTTTCCCTCATTTCAGGGTAAACATACTCAGAGTTTTCACTTAACCTCCTTTCTGAAACGGGTCCCAGATCTTATTCATTAATATTAATTTAGAATATAGACAAACCTTATATTATTGTAATTGTCTAGATTGGCAGTACGTTTAATCTGCCTTATATTAAACCATTTCTTTTTATTTTCTATAAAAATAAAAATGTCAGCGTGGTTATTATTTAGTAGAATTAAATAACTAGACATGATGTTTCTTTCTGTCATTCAATCTGATAGCAGTTTAAATGAGTGCATTGACTGAGTGCTGTCTGTCACTGCACTGTAATACATATATTTTCATGATTTTTCACAAGACCTTTGTCAAATCAGCTTTAGGTTGACAAATGTTGTCTAGATAACACAATATTTTGAGTTTCTGTTGAATAATCTAATCTCTTTCTTTGACCACCCACAGGGCAACCTCAATGACTTGCAGCACATGGGCATTATTCCACGCATTGCAAAGGACATCTTTAATCATGTGAATGACAACCTGGAATTCCATATCAAGGTACACACACATATACACACAAGGGTACAAATGAATGAAATATTGACCATCCAAATATAAATCTGACCACATATATGTCTTTCAGGTGTCATATTTTGAGATCTACATGGAGAAAATCAATGATCTTCTAGATGGTTTGTGGAAACAAAAATAGTGCATCATTCAAAATTCATTACCATGATTTTTATATTTCAGTCAAGACTTAAATTTAAAAATATATAAATACTGTAAGCTCTTGGGACAGTTTTAGGATGTTAATGAATATGAAAATGTCATTGTATTTGGTCTTGGCAGAATAAATGCGCCCAGGGGCGCTGCTAGCAATTTTGGGCCCCATGAAAGAATATGAGGTTGGGCCCCCTACCGCACCAAACACACACTATTGCCCAAAGTATTGGGACACCCCCTTCTAATGAACAGGTTCGACTACTTTAGTAATTTGCATGAGTACAAATCTTAATGTTTAAGCATATAATGATATTCTGGGGAATTGTGTGCTTTTAATTTTATAGCAATAGTTTAGACAGAACCCTTTTCTATTCTAACACAACAATGCCTCTGTGTATAAGGCAAGGTTTAAAAAAAAAATTGATTCAGTCAGTGTGGAAGAACTTGACTGGTCTGCATAAAGCAAAGTCCTAATCACAGCTGTTCAAACTATTGGTATACAATTAGAAGCACACAATTCCCTAAAATATCCTTATATGCTTAAACATTAAAGGGGTCATATTATGCGATTTCAATTTTTCCTTTCTCTTTGGAGTGTTAGAAGCTCTTGGTGCATAAAGAAGATCTGTAAAGTTGCAAAGACTAAAGTGTAAAATTCAAAGAGATATTCTTTATAAAAGTTAAGTCAACCTCGCCTACCTAAAACGGCTCGTTCTAACACGCCCCCACATGTCTCCGTCACGATGTGGTAAGGTTTGCATAACGCCGCCCAAATGTTCACGCAAAGAAAGAAGGCGTAACTTTTATTCTCACTGT